AATGCGCTGCTGCACTGTAACGCACACACATTACAGACAGTAGCTCGTACATCACGCACAGATCGCGCGCACACAGAATCATTCAGTGTGGAAATGTATTGTCAACACTGTTCTGTGATTTCTCAATAAAATAGCTTTGATACTGAAAAGTTCAAGCATATATTGCTTAACTAAATCCCACAGCTTCACTTCTAGTAGAGAGACGCGGCCAGGTAGAATTAATTCAGACACGCATTCGCTCTCACTAATGCATTCATATTAATGTAATCTTTACTGTGCTACTTTATCTGCTTATTTGTTCATTAATGACGTCATCAGCGACTAGTCGACTTCGACTCGACTTTCATAACATAAAAGTCGACTTTAAAAAATCAGAAGTCGTTCAACCCCTAGCTTGTACTAATAGTGGAGTGTTTATTTGCAAAGGCTAGCACCGGTGTTGTGCCCATTTTCAACCCCTGCCAAATTATTACCCCCTCTCGTTGAAATCGCTACCTGATTGCCTAATCCTAACCCCACGCCTAATCCTAACCCCTCCCCCATACCTACTCCTAAACCTACCAATGCTAGGGGGTAGTAATCTGACGGAGGTCAGAATTGGGCACAACACCGGTACTGCCGGTGCTTGAGCTCTTGAAGCTCCGCCCTCTTCTCAGAAAGCACCAGCTCTTGCATTTAAAGGGAAAGACGAAAACGGCGCGTTTTGGCTCATACCCTAAAAGTGGCAATTTTAACAAGCTATAAAAAATTATCTGTAAGGTATTTTGAGCTAAAACTTCACACACACACTCTGGGGACATCAGAGCCTTATTTTACATCTTGAAAAAAGGGGCTTAATAGGTCCCCTTTAAGAGTTTTCTCCCCCATAGAAAGACTAAGACAGTGGTATAAAAAGGCCGTATTTGGGTATACAGTTTATTAATAAAATATACTACATACAGGAAAGCAGATAAGCCCAGAATATGAACAGAAAACTCTAAATTTCTTGTTAAGCGTTTTCCTCCCAAGCCGTTATAAAGAAAACACTTAATGAAGATGATAAAAAAAAAAGACCAAATATGCTATAGAAATTATTAAAAATATATACTGTGTAGTTTGTACATGCAGATGAGCCCATGAACACGCTACATAGAAAACAGCACTTAACGTGGCTTAATATGAGACAGTGATATAAAAAGCCCAAAGTTTATATAAAATGTATTAAAAATGTATACTATGTACAGGCAAGCAATGTGCAAATCCATTAAGCCACGTTAACAGTTTTCTTTATAATGTTTAAAGAAAACACATGAAACTTTGCATGTTCCGTTCATATTCTGGGCTCATCTGCTTTCCTGTGCGTAATGTTTTTTATTAATAAACTGTATACCAGATTTGGTCTTTTTATATCACCGTACTTCATCCATTAGCTTACCTTAAGCGTTTAATTTACAACAGATTTCTATGGGGGAGAAAAAGCTTAATGTGCATTAGCGCGTTGCGTTCATATTCTGGACTATTCTGCTTGTTTGTAAATATTAATATTATTAATTTACTATTAATTAATAGTATTTTTTCCACCACCATGTCCCTTTAGGGGCTCCGTACAATAGGGATATTTGAAATGATTTGGGGGAAAAAACACCACTCTTCGTGTGATAAATTATATCAGATGATATAAATATAAACGTCTTATAAGTCATATTTTTGCCCCCTTATCTTGAATTTTGTGGGACTTTTAAATGTATTTTAATAGACTAAATCACGCAGTGAAAACGTGAACTCTAAATGTGCACATGCAGTAGTCTAACCTACATCTTATCCACCTTATTTTTCAACGCAGAAGTAAGCCGTTTTCTGTGAATGTGCAAGACTTTCGGTTCATTAGCCGCTGTATGGAAATAACGAGATAATGGCTGCATCCAAGCTCCAAAACAATAGGCTAGTAAAGTATGTTAACAAAGATATGACAAAGATTTTTGGTACATATTATCTTTAAAGTGTCTAGTATTAATATATGAATTCACAATTATTCCGTTTTGTTGAGTGTGGTCACAGAATGAGTAAACATGTTGATGGCAACAATAGTGACCGCTGGGATAATACAGTTAGTTTAGGTATACATTTATATCCAATTGCAGTTGAATTAAAAATTCTAATGTTACAAATAAGTTACAATATTGATGTTGTAATTAGGGCTGTCAAAAAAAATTAGAATTTCGAATATTCGTCGAATTTAAAATAAAAATCCACATTCGAATGCAAAAACGTTACATTCGAATTTTAGGTGTGCGTTAACGAGGCAGCCTTATCAGCGGCGCACGAGATGCGATGACGATGTAAGTGTCATTGCATTTTAATGTTTTTGTTAGCCTATCCAGTTGAAGACACTAGATGCGGCGCTGCTGCGTTGTTAATTACAAATATTGCGGGAAAAGAGAACATCAATGCGGAGAAGATCTTGTTTACGTCAAACCTGAAACCAAGTCGTTCACACAGAATGCATATTTTGCGCATTTTCTAGAAGGACATCTATCACCGTTGCACTCGCGTCTCGCACAAAAGAGCCGCATGTTTAGAAAGCCATGTAAAATTAATGCAAGTTCAACTTTGAAAAAAACATATCTCGAGTGTTACGTCCCAGGACGTATGTCATTTTTGTTAATGCCATTATTATTAATACTGTGAATCTCTGTGTGTAACATTGTGTTTCCCTGATGCCTAACAGCCTGCTGGGAAGTGTAATTTTTGCCTGTTTTCCTCTGTTCCTCCCTGTCCTCTCACAGAAGCTTAATTGATGTCACCTGTCCCTCGTCAGAGCTGTGAAGAGGAGCTTGTATTTGAACAGAGGGAACGGGCTGTTCACCAGAGAGAGCTTGGCCTGTCTGTTTTCCCAGATCTCGTTGAAGATTGTGTGCTCTGAGCTCTAATGCTTCTTTAAGAAAGCCTGTAGTACTTGTTAAATATTGTGTGCTCAGAGCCTTAGTGCTTCAAGAAAGCCTGTTGTACCGGCTGTAGTGATTGTGTGTTATTTTTGCCTGCAGACGCAGTAAGGAGGTGGGTGCCACTTTTATTTTATTTAACACTTGCTTTTCTCCTGGTTTTGTTGGGACAGTGAGGAAGTCAAGGAAGAGACATGTTGTTTATTTTGATGTTTTGTTTGATAGGCAAGTTAGATTCCCTTACTCCCAAGGTAGCATCATCTTTTTGTTTGTTATTTTGGCCTTAACCCCCTCCTGAAGCTAGAAGCGGCTTATCTTTTCTTTTTAAATTATCCATACCGTTTACGCTTGTTTTTCCCCTTCCCTCTAACTGCTGTACAAAGACTTTACATTGTAAATAAAATCTTGAAGAGTTCTATGTGTGTGAGTGCTGGGATTGCAGATAGAGCCAACTCTCTCACTTTTTTTTTTTTTGCCCATTGGTTTCTACGTTCAAGGACACGTTTTCATTCCTCTTTAGTAGCATATGTTACTTCCCTGTCACCCCTAGACAAAAAGGGGATGTAACACGAGACTTTATGGTGGGTTTTTCCCCATCCCACTGCAACTTGCGTTTTTAAATGAAAAATGTACTCCGTGTGATTGGCTGTCGGCCCTTTGTATTAAACTATGCATACATACATACATGATGCTGTTTTGTTTATAGTTGTTTAAGCAACTTAATTATAATTGGTTTATAAACATTATTTTAAACATTATGCACTTTTTTCACAGATAGTCATGTTATCTTATGCTTTGAATGATGCGCCCTCTTGTGGCCTCAGGAGAGAAGCCAAAAGCTTTTCTTCACCCTAACTGAAATTATGCATTTTAAATTCGAATATAATTCGAATTTTGATAATATTTAAGTACAAAATTCTTATTTAGTTTTTCAGCCATTTTGACAGCCCTAGTTGTAATACTGGTAGTACTAATATAACAATTTTATGAAATATGCTACACTAAAGTAACAATTTTGAAATGTGTTGTATTTTTTCGTCTTATATCTCAGTATTCCTATCAGTGTTGTAGGGATGTAACGGTATGAAAATTTCATATCACGATTATAGTGACCAAAGTTATCACGATTATCAATATTATCACGGTTTTGTTCAAATTAGATGAAAACGTTCAAAAAGAACTGATACACACTGAAAACATTTCAATAAGTTTTATGAAACCGAGTTTAAAATAGCTGGGCTGATATATATAAGAATTTTGATGACTGCAGAAACATGTTAATTCAGTATACACATTATCCCACCGGTCACAATTTTTCACACACTTTTCCAAAAAAGAATTATTGATTATTTCAAAGGGTTACTAATGACAAAAAACAGTGGCTCTAAAACATATCTAGACACTTAAATGTCTTAAAATACATTTTCACATTGCGTTATACAACAGAATATAACAAAATATCAAAGCAAATGCCCTTTATTTTAATGAAAGACAGTACAAAGACAGCATTGGTAATGATAACAAAAGATTTAATGTTCAAAATTAGAGTTACCAAAAATTACATCAACTAATGTCAATCAATTGGTTAGAAGTAAATTTAAAAATGACATTAAAAGGGTTCAGAGAAAAGGTCTGGCATCACTTGTTTGCAGATGCTTCATGCTTTGATATTACGAATTTAAAACAAACTCATCCATGTGGCGTAAGTATTCAAATATCTTTAGGACCACTGGATAACAAACAAATTGATTTATTCATAGTAGCATTTAGAAGTATAATTTATAGCTCACCTGAGTTTTGTTTGACTTGGTTGTTGCCTGTGCTGTCTGCTGTTTCGTCACACCATTGGCTGTTGGCAGGATCATGCCCTGTGTGAACTCTACAACAGAAAATAACAGATAATAACAATCCGCATCCAACAGACAATGTAGTAGCAGCAATGCTTCTAAAACTCTTATGTAGTGGTCGACTGACCACTACATAAGATTTGTCATCTTTCAAATATCGGCATCGGCCGATAAGTTTTTCTGGTTGGCCGATGTGTTCGAGGCATGACTTTTATTTTGACGGCACGGTGGACTTTTATTTTTATAGCGAACAAGAGGGAGAATGTGAGCAGTGTCGTCATTCAGTTCTGTCTAATATGGATAGAAGTCTATCTAATAATCAGATAGAACTGTTAAACAAAGGAATTAAAATGTATACAAAAAGTATTATAACGATTGCTTTAATATTATTAGTAATAGAAAGGCAAACATTATAATACTTTCTCATTTGCCATCAGCATTCAGCAAATACGCATTTATATCATTTAAACAAATCTTTGAATGACTAATGAACATTTAATTTCACAAACCTTAGTCGAATCTAGTTGAAGTGTGCATTTGTATCCTGCATGATCGAGTGTTCTCTGGGTGACAGTCGGTCTGTGTAAATTGAATGCTGACAGGAGGAGAGTTCTGCTTGACTGGAAACGCGCGATCGACAAACTTTAAACTAGCGATTTCAAATTATGCTGCGCTTTATGCATTTGCCCGCTGTCTTATTCATGTCATTTTCATTGCATGCTGTATGTAAAATGAGTGTTACCTTGGCTTTATTTGAAAAAAAAAAAAAAAAAAAGATGTGCCGGTTTTGGCGTCTCAGTGAGATTTACCTGTTTTGAGGAAGTCCACGTAGCTGGCTAGCACCGTGCTGATTTTTTTGGCTCCCTCACTCCTCATCAGAGAAAGCAGCGCTGTCTCAGGCTCATCTTTACAAAGACTCACACTGATCTGCGAATGACCCCAAAAAATACCCAGACTCAATATCATTTCAATAGCATGGCTATTGAACTAATCACATCTAACAAACAAATCACTTCTGTTCTAGATACTTTAGATCAGTGGTTCTTTAACCTTTTTGTCTCCAAGGCAAAGGCTCCATGACTTTTCCAGTTGTTTGTGATTTACTGGATAAGGTTTTAAAGAAACATTTTTATAATTTCTACCCGATAAAACATTTTAGAGCTTGGCATAACTAGAAACACGTATATTCGTTATAAAAATACTCAAGAGGTAAAGTTGTAAGATGTCACACTTAAAATGATGCTTCCTCATATATCCAGGATTCCAACACTGTGGAAATAACAGTTATTCAATATTCAGTAATAACAGTTAAGACAAAAAATTTATTAAAATAAGAAACATCTTGAATTTTAGTTGTTTTGTCTTATGTAAATCCTTTTAAATCATTTTGAGGCCCCCCTGGAAATTTGCTGAAACCTCCAGCTGGGCCCCGGCCCCCCGTTTGAGAACCACTGCTTTAGGTTCTCCAATACTATAGTGTTTAAATAAATTGACAATGTACACAGCACAGTAGTAGTCTTCCATAAAGCCTTTAGTCTGGTGATGCCACAGCATGTAAAAATATATAAATTAGTTGTGCAACTTACATCAAGGTCGTCCATGTCATTTTCATCCGAAAGGTTTGGAACTTCAATATTCCCCTTGTATATGATGCCTGATTTTGATGTCCCTGTACAAACAGACAGTCCAAATCATGTAAATAGTTCATAAAGCCATTTTATAATTCCCACCAACACAAAATAACTGATTCAGTTAAATATTTAATTGGCCATATTCATTCCCTGATCCAAATCATTTTCCTCACCTCTCCAGGCGGCCTTAAGATTCCACTCATAGAAGAATATAAGCTTCCCTTTGCGGTTATTGATGGATGCTTCTCCCTCCACCTTGCTGACCTCTGTGATCTCACACTTGCCTTCTTCACCCTCCACCCACAACCCCATGAGCAGCTCCTTCAGCTTCTCTGATGACCAGTTTGTGGCGTCCCTCTCGGTCCTAGTAATACAAGGCATATGCATTGATATTACTCCCTTATTTAGCAGAGTTCAACACTAAGGATTTTTCTTCTGGCCCAGTGGTTCAGATTTGTACTTGCCCTACCAAAATTGTCACTGACCCTGCTACAAAAATAAATAAATAAGTACATACATATTTTTGACCTATGCAACCTTCTGTTCTACTAAATAAGATTGTTACGACACCAAAACTTTAGATACCCATGACTTTTCAGAACTGTCTATTCCAATTTCGATATCACAGCAAAACTATTAAGACTAACTACTATAAAATGCAAAGATAAACAACAATCAGTAATAAAATAATAACAAATAAACAAATTACAAGCAATAGGAAAAATAATGTAAAAAATAGAACAAAGAAAATAGTGCATGTGTACCAAATAGAAACCTTTATTGCTGTTTCTCACGCTTGAATGGTTTAAAATCGCTTGAATGTTTAAATTCTCAAGACTTAAAAAGACAACTTTTGTGACGATGCAACAATGTCAACTGTATAAACAATAAATAATTAAATCTATTACAGATAGCTGATGTGGATTTCCATTTGTCAGGTATCAGTCCTTAGAATGAATAGACTAAATTATTAAGCTTCAATAATTAGTATACAAATGTCTTCAAGAAAACATAAATGTCCTGAGATTTGAATGCAGTTCAATGGTGAAACTTTTTAAATTAGCAATACCTTGTTCATGAAATTTAGTAAAGTAAAAAAAAAAAGGTTTTACACAACTGAAACCCTAAAAATTGATCTTGACAAACCATGGTTTTATGTGACTGTCTTGCTGAATGATCTTCCTTGATGAGGTCAAGGTTGAAACTAGATTCTATAGTATTTGCTGACACCTCTAAAAACCCATTTAACTCATGGATGGAGATGCTGCCAAACACATATAATGGTTGAAATGCTTCAGCTTCCCCAATGAACTGTTGTTCCTTCACATTCCCCTGATACAATTACCTTCAAAATCCGCGTTAACCTAATTAACCTCGCATTTATCACACTTCAACATGTAACTTGCTCAAAGAAATGATCTCTTCCTCAGTAGTATTCAATGGCCATGCCGCTGAAGCTGAGACAGAACGAGGAGCGGAAACGATGTGGACTGTCCGACGACAACTCAAGTAATAAACGAACAAAAATAAGATTTTCGTCAAGTGATAGAAACAGTCGCATGAAAGATGCGGTGAAAGCATGGCATGAATAAACTTCACTGGACCACTAGCCAGACATCAGCATTTTACTTTATAGATAAAATAGCCTAACCACCAAAACAACAACAACAACAACTTGAGCTATCTCGGTCGCAGCGAGCTGTTCCGTTGTCCTAGTTATATTTTCTCCGGTCGAGAGTCTTCATGAGACAGCTGATTGAAAGAGGACAGCTCGGGTCAGTGGCGGGTGTGCTTTAGCATGTTAGCATTAAGATGGCTTGAGTGAGAGAGTGAATATGCCGGCTGACTCTCACCAGTGCCAGTTGTTGACGTTTGTAGCATCCGCTCTCTCCTCCACGATCCAGCGAGGGTCTCCTTCTCCCCACTTCGCCATATTGATTTATAAAAGATATTCTGCTGAAAATGAATTGAGCCGTGGGTTCTGACAGAATGTGCCCGCCACGAGTGAACTCTCGCTTCTGGAATCCTCTCGACTGCTGCCTCTGGTTTCGTTGCCCGTAGAAATTACTGGAAACGGAAGTGAGTCGCGCGCAAAGCGCTCCGTGCTAAACACGTGCCGCTTGGAGAAGATTCCGCAATCCGCACGAACCTGTTACTTCTTTTTTTAAAGGGGTCATATGATGTTGCTAAAAAGAACAGTATTTGGTACTATCATTTGCTATGTTTATTCCATTTAATAAATTAAAAAATCCGTCGATTCCTGTTAATACATTAAATTTTTAATGAAATAATACACTATTTCACTTAATTGCTCAGTTGTAACAAATAACCAGTTCTGACAGTAAACTGCTATTGGCAGCACACAATTTTATAGATGACAGTTTGGCATAATTTCAGAGAAGTCAAGGACAAGAACTACTAATATTGCGAAACAAAAATAAACAGCAGATAGTGGAAAGCACTGTTTCTTTGTAACAAGATTTTGAATAGAAGAGATTCTTCAGCAATAATTTAATCTTATTTTTGAAGCAAGTAGATTTGAAATAAAAAGGACGTTATTTATCATGCGAAGTTTGTGTGTGTGTGTGTGTGTGTGTGTGTTAGAGAAACAAAAGACATTACATGCTTAGTAAGTACACATTTGTCTTTACCATTTACAAAAAATTAATTATTACCAACGGATTACAGTTTAAACAGTCTGTTCAAAATTGCCAGTTGGTTCAATCACTGCACGAACAACAGCACTTTACATGCAAGGTAGTCTCTTGATCTGTAGATGGCTTTTCAGCATTCATTGGATGGTGTTCATGACACTGAGATCACTCACCCTAAACTGTTTTCCTCCGGACAAAGGCACAATGAAGCTCCTGATTGTGGCTGCACTTGTTGGACTGTGTCTTGCCCAGCACAACCCAAACACTAAACATAATAGGACCTCTATTGTTCATCTGTTTGAGTGGCGGTGGGCAGATATCGCTGAAGAATGTGAGAGATACCTGGCACCAAATGGCTATGGAGGAGTTCAGGTATGTTTACAATTCTTAATGATTCCTGCACAAATGCGCTTGCACTATTTGTAAGTAATAGGATGATAAATGTGATGTTTTGAAACTTTCGGAGCTTAGATTAGATATGTACTGAAGGTTTTGAATTATGAAGGGTTATCAAAATGTAAGCAAAAAAAAATACAACTTTAAAATAACAGTTGTCTTTGATTTTATAGATCTCTCCCCCCAGTGAGAGTGTTGTAGTGTCCAATCCTTGGCAGCCTTGGTGGCAGAGGTATCAGCCGGTCAGCTACAACTTGTGCTCCAGATCAGGAACTGAGGCAGAGCTGAAGGATATGATCACACGCTGTAATAATGTTGGGGTAATGCAAAACTAAGGCTAATAGTATCGTACCTCAAAAACAGCCAAATGACGACATTAAAAATAAAGACGCTTAATAATTATGGAGCATCTCCTGTGTGCTACTTTTCCTTCCTCTAGGTGAACATATACGTGGATGCAGTGATTAATCACATGTGTGGAGCCGCTGGTGGAGAGTTCTGTTCTGACATTCTGGGACTCTAGGTAAAATATTTTGTCCAAGAACTATGACTATTCCTACTGTGAGTGGTATGTTTTACATTGTGAATTTTGCAGGCTTTATAAGATCGCTACAGGGCTCATGTTGGCTCATCCATACGGTGTGACCAGAGTCATGTCTAGCTACCATTGGGATCGACATTTTGTGAATGGAAAGGTAAATGCTTTCACTTAAAATAATGATTACACCGAAGTCTTATAGTTGGTTAACCTATGTGCTTGACAGTACATGAATGAATAGTAGTATAACAGTGCATGGGGGTAAAAGAGCGCATTTTATTTTATTTTCCCCTAAACCACTAGATGGCACAAAACCCCACCGCAAAACTGCCTAAATATCTCTGTTGTACTGTAGGTGGAAATTTGGCTGATCCTTTACTTGATCACAAGCAGCAAGACATTTTGTGAATGGAAAGGTAAATGCTTTCACTTAAAATAAGGATTACACTGAAGTCTTATAGTTGGTTAAACCTATGTGCTTGACAGTACATGAATGAATAGTAGTATAACAGTGCATGGGGGTAAAAGAGCGCATTTGATTTTATTTTGCCCTAAACCACTAGATGGCACAAAACCCCACCGCAGCACTGCCTAAATATCTCTGTTGTACTGTAGGTGGAAATTTGGCTGATCCTTTACTTGATCACAAGCAGCAAGGCAAAGTTGATCTAATATTGAATGTTTTTTGTTTTTGTTTGTTTTTAAATTATAGATTTATGTAGCAAATGAGAATCATTAAAATAAATGACCAAATATATTTTGAGACAAATGTCTTTTTAATTATTTCAAGCGTTGTTTTGTTTAAGGTAATTAAATCAACAGTTTAATAATAATAATAATAATAATAAAAAAACTTAAGAATAT